TGCCTACCCTTTTTCTTTGAGTCTAAGGGTAAACCTAATAAGCATCCACGGGCAAATTCAGTTTTCCAAAGTCCATTATTATTAAGGATTTTACAAATATTTTTTCATTTAACACTCCAAACATTCTAGACAAGTACCATTTTATAACAAAGAAAAAAGGGGAGGTTAAGAATTTTGCCTAAAGGTATGGCTAGCATGAAACAGAACAGAACAAAAAAGACCTGCACACCCAGCTCTCTAACTCTTTTCACTACACTAGTGTGTATCTGCAATTACCAAGCAACATTTACTTTTATAAAAATAAATAAATAAAAATAAATTTTAAAAAAATGCATTAAAAACAATTAACAAAACAGTTAAATCTTAAATAAATTAACAGTGAACATTATTGCTGTGAAAGAATAGCTACAATTGTTACTTAAGAAGAAAATCATGTCTCTCACATGGGACAACAATTTAGTGTGATCATCATATTTCAGGATCTGAAATCCTTAATCTTGCAGTTTTAGAAGCAGTTGACTTTCAACCTTCAGAGTTCATTAGCCTCAAAGAGCTGGCTCAACCCACTCAATTTCTCAGAAATTGCTGTTAGGGACAGGGGAGACCTTTTCAGCAATCAGCAAACTTATGTCTATGATCTAGGAAACAAAATTCCCAGCATTAAAATACCTAGAAAACAGAATATGGCGCAAAACTCAAACTCACAACAACAACAACAAAAAAAAAAAAAACAGGTTCACTGCTGGAAACTCTGAATCTATGATCCACAGACTCCGTTCAGGTCTGGAACTGAACTCACCCCCATGGCTTAACTTTCAGGCAAAAGACAGACAGGCCTATAAGGTGAACGAACAGTAACACCAGGAAGGTATGGAGTCCTTAGAACAATCAACCATATGAGATCCAAAGGCAGCATATGCCCAGGGATAAAGCTCAGAAAGCGGGAAAGGATAGGAAAGAAGGGGAGATGGAAACAGGAAACACAGGGAGGAAATGAGAAGAGTGCTGCTACGTTGCGTGGATTCCAATTAATGTCTCAAAAAAAAGTATATGAATTGTTAAATAGAAAACCAATTTGCTCTGTAAACTTTCACCCAAACCACAATTTTTAAAAATACCTAGAAAGATGAAATATTACTAAAAAGCAACTTAGAGGAGCAGGAGTCAGCTTAGAGAGGTAGGTAACTATGAAGAGCAACTGCAAATTATGATCTCAATGCAGTCTATGCCACTTCTCTGACACCAACTAAATTGAACGTACTCAAATCCAATCCACATCAATTCAGTTCCAATTCAATTGCACACGTAGTTCTTTTTCTCTGACTGTAACTAACAGGATTAGGTCAGATGTCAAATTAGAGGGAACAGTCCTCTAGACTCCCAAGCCTACCTCAGACCTGATACTAGTCATAAACTCAGGGAACCCCCAGGCTCACTCATTGACAACTGCTGGTTCCTATTACTCCTTAGGGTTCAATAATTCCCTGGAAAGACTCACAGAACTCACAGGGCAATGTACGCATGATTAGAGTCTTATTTTAGGAAAAAAGATAAAATGAAGAGAGGCATAGGGCAAGGTCTGAGAGGGTTCCCAAAGCTAAACTTCCATGTCCTTCTTATCACCAACCAAGAAGCCCATGGAGCTTCCATGTCCAGAGCTTTTACTGGTATCTCATTACCGAGACATGATTGTTTGGATTAGCCACTCACATCTCCATGTTGAGCTAATATCAAGAGCCACACCTTTTTGGCCTAACCCCCAACCAGAGGTACCTTATTAGCATAACCCCTCAGGTACAGTTTTGAGGTTTCATCAAAGATGCTTCAAACACTGGGGAAAATCCATGGTTATGGAGGTTATCTCTCAGGAACCACGGTCCACAGCAAAATTCTTTGGATAAACTTAATTTTCAACTCCACAATAACAGAAACAATATTTGAGGGGTTTGTCTTCCAAAGATCCATGTACTCCACTACTCTTCATTGAACAAGGTCATTCTTCACACCAGTTAACAAAATCAACTAAGCATTACCTTCCTTAATAAAATTCATTCCAACCTGCAACCCAGTTGGAATTGGCCACTCCAAATGTTGGTTAAAAAAAACCCACTGCCATTGAGTTGATTTCAACTCATAACAACCTCCTTTGGGTTTCCAAGAAGGTAAATCTTTACGGAACTAGATCGCCCAGTCTTCCTTCCATGGAGTGGCTGGTGGGTTTGAACCACCAATCCTCTGGTTAGCAGTCAAATGCCAGTAGCTAAATATTAATAAGGAGCTCTGGTAGCATAGTGTCTAAGGCACTTAACTGCTAACCAGAAGGCTGGCGGTTAAAACCCACCAGCCACTCCTCGGAAGGAAGGTTGGGCAATTTACTTCCATAGTTATGCTGCCTACAGGTAAGTATTGTAGGCATAAGAATTCTCCTTACTGAATGCATTATCTAAAATGTCATAAAGAACATGACCTTTCTTAGTAAAGGCATTTCCCCCCATGGTGGACCCTGCTTATGTTTCTAGTGTGGGCCACATAGTCTATAAATGTTTTTCATATTTAAATGTTTAAGGGCAAAGAAGATAGCAATTTTCTGAAGAGTTCATGTCAACTTTTTCAGAGCCTTGCTCTATAATAGTTCCTTGTTATATACACCAGGAGCATCTGCTCAGTCATAAATAAGAGAAGTCCAGGACCAAATGCAGCAGATTAGAAGTGATTAAGCATATGTGCAAAGTAGTAGAGATCAGATTTTTTATGCATTTGTGTATATTACAACTTTTAATAATCACTTCAATAGCTCAATAAAATTATCTGAGTGAGACTTAAAACTCACTTCCACAACTGTCCTAATTGCCTTAAGAAATAATGTCAAATACCATTATACAGTCAACTCTTAATTATGCATGTGAACACAGCCCAGGGATATAGGGTCAACAGGCATTCACAAATAATTCTCAGACTTCATCTGAACTAGGAATTAAAGCCTCTCCCATGACTGAAATTCTTACTTGAACACTGAATACAGCAAAATTGACTGGTTAAATGTTTAATTTTGTTATCCCCTGACTACCCTTTGGTTGAGCCACAAAATAGGAGCCAGTCAACAAAAGACAGACAGAAAAGCAAAGGGGCTAGATTATCCACACATTGGATAACAAAATCTTTAAAAACAGAGTTGCTTATATTCAGAAATACGATTATTTGGAGAAGTTTACAAATTGCCAAATGGCAGTTGTGACTCACTGATTTCTCTGCAAATTAAGTGAATGTGTTTTTAAATGCGGAAAATTGTATTATGTTGGAGTCCTACAATTAATTTTACAAAGATGTCTGCAAAATGTTATCTCACTGTGTTTGTCCCATGTTAACAATTAAAATATGTGCCTATAGAAATCATTTAAATGCAAACAACAATGACATAATGCCAGGTTAGCATGCACTAACAAAGACATGGGATAATTATATTTTTCCTGTCGATAAGTGAAGACAAAATTATTTGAATTGCCTTTGAAATAAAAAAGGACTATTACTGAAAAAGACAGTCTGTTAAAGCTATAAAAGCTCATTTAAGACACTAATAAACAAAACTAACCACAGTGCTGTCAAGTCAATTTGACTCCTAGTGACCCCACCTTGGGTTTCCGAGGCAGTATCACTACAGAAGTAGATTATCCAATCTTCCTTCCTAGGAGTGGCTGGTGGGTTTGAACCGCCAGCCTTCTGGTTAGCAGTCAAATGCTTTAATGCCTTAGGCACTATGCCACCACAGCTCCCATTTAAGGCACTAAAGCACCCACATATTTAACTCAAATTGATTTTGAACCATTCAAGTTTATATTCTTGTAAAAATCATTTTTGCACCCAATGAAATACTACATATTTTCTTTGATCTTTACAACTAAATTCTTCAAAGCTCCCTGTACCTTGGATGTGTACCAAGCCTGAATCAGTACAGGTTAATCAGGTTGCCAAAGCTCATAAAATGAATCAGTACTGGATCTCTGAAGTATTGAATTAAAACTGAAGGGATTCTAGTCGGACAAAAGATGTGATGAGGGAGATTTTGGAGTTTCCTTGATTTCTTTAAGAATAAAACAGATACCATTTCTCTCCTATCTATCTGAGGAAAGGAGCTATCTGTTTCTTATAAACCTTCTCCAGATCTCCAATATAATTAATCTATCTGCCCAGAAAAGAGGCGCTGTAAACTTTCCAGAAGAAATAGTGAACTCAGTTATCCACATGTGGATTACTCAGTTTTTCAGGTGATTCCACAGATAATCGATCATCAGTATCTAGTTTCTTCCTTACATCTCTGAGCCTTGTCAACTCACCAGGCCATTATCTGTGCGTGCAAGGGGGGAAAAAAAAAAAAAAAACGTAATTACTATTGCTATTATTAAACAAACTAAAACTAAACCTTCCTAGGAAGAAAAAAATCATTATAAAGCATTGGGCAAATGGACAACTTTCAGGTTCAAGCACTGGGTATTTTGACCTCCTGAAAGCCCAATGGCCGACCCTGTAGTGTTCCCTTCTGTTGTACATAGGGTGGCTATGAGTCGCAACTGACTTGACAGCACCTAACAACAAAAGCCCAATGGCAGAGGACTTTCACAGGTCTCCTTTCTTTGACTGAATTCATGAGGCGGTATTCTTAAGGCTTGGGAGATTATTTAGGAGAACCACAATTTTCTGTACCTGTTTAACATGAAAGACAATCCAAAGTTTACTAAGTGGTTAAGTGCGAGGCCCTGCAAAGGTTGTGTCCCAGCCCCTCCCACAGAAACAAGGCTGCCTACACTCATAACTCGTGAGAAAGTCAGTTGGTAGTTAACGCTGGACTGGGTGGCGCATACGCCACCTTGAGGTCGAACAGGCATCTCCGCCGGCTCAGTGGTCTCACTCCCCAAAGGGCGCCCCCATTGGATGTCTGCGCTATTGCCCAAAAAACCCGTCACAGCGGCCTGATCAAGCCCGCCGCGCCTACGCGGGAAGGATACGCTCTAGGTAGTAGGCGCCTTCTGCGGCCACCGCATCCGCGGTATCCCCAGCTGCTGGCAAGCTCACGCCCAGCGTTTCTTCCAGGACCCGCAGGGCCAGGTTGGGCATCCCGTGTTGCGCAGCCATCACTGGAGGTCCAGACCCCCGCCACCGGCCGGTCACCGCCGTCCCTAAGGGCAACCGCAAAGACGCTTCCCGAGGCCCCAGGCAGCTCTCGCGAGAACCTTGTTCCCACTCACAAACCCTCTCCTCTGAGGCCAACTCCGGTCGCCGGAGGGCTGCCCCAAGTCCCCGCGCGGTTGTCTTCCAAGCTTCCCCGGTTACCAAGGCAACGTTGTTGCCTAGTTACCCCAAGCTCAGGACGCAGTTCTTGAAGTGCACAAGTCAAAGATGCGAGAAACAGCCCGCTTGGGTTACATCATCTTACCGAGGCAGCTTGGTTTTCATTCATTTTGACCCGGTCATTTCTTTCTTCTCATATTTTCTAAATTGCCTTTCTCTTGGTTCTTAATGCCCATTGTCACTCCCGGATTTTAGATGTTTCTGGAGCTCTACAAATGAGGAAGATCTTCAGTGATTAGAAAGGAAGGAGAGAGAAAAAAAAATCCTCGAAATCATGAACTCCTCTTCGTAATCGTAATTGACCCAAGGAAGTTACCATCTCCCTAGATGCTCAGCAGTAAGTAACTAGGAGTAGTCACCTAAGTTAAATTCATTCTTGTTCTCCTTTAATGCACTTAGCAGATCATCTGTTTTACCTTTTCTTTTATACACTGGAACTTGAGCTAGTATTTGTAGCATTGACTCTTCCCAAGAGAAAAACATTTTCATAAAAAGTAAGAGGTTCAAATGGCCCTAAAATAAATTATAATAGATACTAGCTCAATCAAGTCTTGTCCTTTTTCAAAATAATCTTCAGATTTTTATTTTGGATATATTGGAAGCAACCGAGAGACTGATTTATTTACATTGTTTTACTCTTCTGTATTTCTTCATAAAATTCAGATGCCAAGCTGTGACTCATAATAAAAGCTTCCATTTATAACCAAAAAATAATAGTGTCTTTTTTATTGTATTAAAATATATATGGGAGCTCTGGTGGCATAGTGCCTAAGGCATTCAACTGCTAACCAGAAGGATGGCGGTTCAAACCCCCAGCCACTCCTCAGAAGGAAGGTTGGGCAATCTACTTCGGTAGTGATACCACCTGGGAAACCCAAGGAGGGGTCGTTATGAGTGGGGTTTACTCCATGGCAGTGTGTTTGGTTTTTGGTTTGGTAAAATATATATAACACAAAATTTACCAGATCAACAATTTTTACATGTATAATTCAGTGACATCAATTATATTTATCATAGACTCAATGCCATCGAGTCGGATCCAACTCATAACAACCCCTCCTTGGGTTTCCCAGATAGTATCAGTGCCGAAGTAGATTGCCCAACCTTCCTTCGGAGGAGTGGCTGGTGGGTTGGAACTGCCAGCCTTTAGGTTAACAGTCAAATGCCTTAGGCACTACTCCACCTAAGCTCGTGGTGACTTCTTAATGAGGTGATTTAAGAGTCTGGTCACTAGCCAGATAGTCTGAATTCAGAACCTGGCTCCACCACTTTGTTGTTGTTGTTGTTAGGTGCCGTCGAGTCGCCCGACTCATAGCGACCCCTCCTTGGGTTTCTCAGGCAGTATCACTACGGAAGTAGATTGCCAAGCATTCCTTCCGAAGAGTGGCTGATGGGTTTGAACTGCCAGCCTTCTGATTAGCACTACGCTACCAAAGTTCCACCACTTGGAAGCTGTGAAACAACAGCTAAACTACTTACTGCCTATACACCTCAGTTACCCCTTTTATAAAAAGGGCACAAAAATATAACCTACCTCACAATATTGTTGCAAATATTAAAACAATATAAAACATTAAGAACTTACCAGCCACAATGTTAGGCACTAAGAAACGTTAGCTATTATTACTATTGCATTTAATTGTTTTTAAGTTTTACAATTATCAATGTAACGATTAGACATAAAAGTTGGAGAATTAATTCCCAGCACAAGCTTGAAAAAATGATTCAAACCTCAAGTTGCATTACTGAAGGATTCTGTGGGCAAAATATTGAATGACAAAGGAAGCAGCAAAAGGTGGGAGGAATACACAGAGTAACCATACCGAAAATAATTGGTCAACATTCAACCGTTTCAGAAGGTAGCATATTATCAGGAACCTACAGTACTGAAGGAAGAAGTTCAAGCTGCACTGAAGGTATTAGCAAAAAACAAGACTCCAGGAAGTGACAGAGTTCCTATTGAGGTGTCTCAACAAACAGATGAAACACTTAGTCATCTGTGCCAAGAAACTTGGAAGATAGCTACCTGGCCAACAAATTGGAAAGTAGTCATAGTCTTGCCATTCCAAGAAAGGTGATCCAATAGAATGCAGAAATTATAGAACAATATCATTAATATCACAACAAATAAAATTTTGCTGAAAATAATTTAAAAACAGTTGTAGCCATATATAGACAGCAAACTGCCAGAATTTCAAGCTAACTTTAGAAGAGGATGTGAAACAAGGGATATCATTGCTAATATCAGATGAGTCTTGGCTAAAAGCAGAGAATATCAGAAGATACTTTTTGTTATTGTTAGGAGCCATTGAGTTGGCTCTGACTCTCAAGGACCCTGTGTACAATAGAAGGAAACACTGTCCAGTCCTGCACCACCCTCATAATCTTTGCTATCCTTGAGCCCGTGGTTGCAGCCACTGTGTCAATCCATCTCACTGAAGGTCTGCCCTGTTTAGCTGATCCTTTACCAGCATGTTATCCTTCTCTAGAGGGATTCCTTCTGATAACCTGACCAAAGTACGGGAGGCCGAATCTGGCCATTCTAACTTCTATGGAGCATTCTGGCTGTACTTCTTCCAAGACTTAATTGATTCCAAATATAGGCTTGAACATGTAATTCAAGCCTCAAGTTGCATAATTGAAGGATTCTATGGGGAAAATATTGAACAACACAGGAAGCAGCAAAAGAAGATGGAAAGATTTGTCCTTCTTTTGGCAGTGCATGATATTTTCAGTATACTTCCCCAACACCACAATACAAATGCATCCTCTCTTTTTGGGTCTTCCTTAATTCATTGTCCAGCTTTCACACACACATGAGACTACTGAAAGTACCGTGGCATGGGTCAGGCACACTACAGTTCTCAAACTGACAGCTTTGCTCTTTAACACTTCAAATAGGTCTTTTACAGCAGATTTGCCCAGTGCAATGTATCATCTGATTCTTAAATGTTATTTCCATGGGCATTAATTGTGGATCCAAGTAACAGTAATTCCCTAACACCTTCAATCTTTTCTATATTTATTGTGATGTTGCTTTTTGGTCCAGTTGAGAGGATGTCAGTTTTCATTATGTTGAGGTGTAATCCATATTATGTGCATATCACAGGTTGTTAATGAGTTCCTCCAATCCTGATGCCATGTTCTACTTCGTATTTTCCAGCTTCTCAGGTTATTTACACAGCATACAGATAGAGTAAGTGTGATGAAGTGATACAACTTGATGCACATCTTTCCTGATACTAAACCATCCAGTATCCTCTTGTTCTGCTTGAATAACTGCCTCTTGGTCTATGTACAGGTTCCTCATGAACCCAATTAAATGTTCTAGAGTTACCATTCCTTGTAATGTTATCCATTATTTGTTATGATCCACACAGTCGAATGTCTTTGCATAGTCAGTAAAATACAGGTAAACATTTTTCTGGTATTCTTTGCTTTCAGCCAAGTCCCATCTGACATCGGCAATGACATCCTTCATTCCACACCCTCTTCTGAATTTAGCTTGAATTCAGTTCTCTGTTCTCTGGCAGTTCCCTGTTAACATACTGCTGCAACCATTTTTAAACTCTTCAGCAATGTTTCACTTGCATGTAATATTAATGATATTGTTCAAATATGTCTGCATTTTGTTGGATCACCTTTCTTTGGAATAGACACAAATATGGATATTTTCCAGTTGGTTAGCCAGGTGGCTGTCTTCCAAATCTCTTGGCAGCCTGCAGTACTGCATCTATTTGTTGAAACAATTCATTGAGTATTCTGGCAATTCCTGGAGCTTTGTTTTTTTTTCTGCCAAATCCTCCAGTGCACTTGAACTTGATCCTATACTCTATCCTGAAATGGTTAAACATCAAACGATTCTTTTAGTACAATGACTCATGTAGTCCATCCATCTTCTTCTGATGTTTTCTGCATCATTCAGTATTTTGCACATAGAATCCTTCAGTATTGCAACCTTTGGTTTTATTAACTATGCAAATTTATTCAACTGTGTGGATAATAACAAATTCTGGATAACATTAAAAAGAATGGTAATTGGAGAACACTTCATTGTACTCATGAGAAACATGTACATAGACCAAGAGATTCAAGCAAAACAAAGCGATAGTGCATAGACTAAAATCAGAAAAGGTGTGTGTTAGGGTTGCATACATTCACAATGCTTATTTAGTCTGTTTGCTGAGAAAATGAAGTGTTGAATGACAGCTAGCTGACTACTTTTCCTTTGAATATGTTTCAGAAGGAGGTAAATAAAGAACAAACAATGGAAACAATAAAAATGAAGCAACAACCGCAAGGGGCAATCTATTTTATTTGCTCCAGCCTAAATGTTCCATTTTTTAAAAAATCAAATTATTTTAAAAGCAAAAGCAGAAAGGAATATGACAATTAACTTACTCTCAGCATTTATTATTTCAAGGTAGAAAATAACCTAGAAATTTTTTTTCTGAAAATCTGTCTGTCTGTATGGCATTAACACGATGGATACTACCTAACTAATTGCCCACCACTACCCAAAGCACTCCAGGTCACTGTTACTAACATTAGATTATCCCTAACCATGATGTATGTTAGTATATAGAGACATAGCACCTTCTTTTTAGTGGCTGTATAGTACTTCTCTATACAGATATGTCATGATTTATTAAAGCAGACTTTAGACCATTTTTCTGGCTTTATTTTAATTGTTGTCACTCTGCACTAGCTGGGATTGGGAGAATCACCTTCCTTTCTACCAAAACTGCAGAGTGGAAGGCTAAAAGAAAAGAGAAGAGAGGAAG